ATGCCTGTTTGGTTGTCTGAAAACAGAGGCAGTATCATAGAGAGATCAAAACTCTCTGATCTCACCTGAATGTATTACTTCAATGGGGTATTCTTTTTAGAGTATTTAAAAAAAAGTTTTGATAAAAATGCGTCTTCTAATCTGTTGCTTTAAAGTAGTGTATTACTTAAGCAAATATTTAAATATTAAATTAGGTTTTCTGTGTGCTTGATGTGAATATAATTCTGCATGCCTGCCAAGCATGTCAAAACCCCAAGCCTACTTTCATTTGCCAGGGTAAATGTTTATTTTGTTTTCCCACATAATGTGCCCTTTAAAGTGTCACCAATATACCAAATCTGATTGCTTTTTAATAGAGACATGGTGGGTTTTGGGGGGAGGTTTTTTTGCTTTCATTAGGAAACAGGATAAATTATCAGTAAAGCTCAAGCTAATGAATCCACATACAGTTGATGTTCTTTGCATTCATTTTTCCTTTCCATCCCATTGGACTCTCTCTTGCACTCTAGGATAAACATCAGAATAATTGTGTTGTTATACCAGTATTTGAAACTATGTGAAACAGTATAGCATGAAGGCTGTGCAAACTTTTGCTTGATTCAGTCTTTCAAATTTATGATTGTGATCAATCAAATTTTGATTGTTTTCAAAATTCTAACTTCACACTGCATAATAGGTAGTTTTAAACATTTATTTGGGAGAGAAATAAATATATAATTAATAGAATATATAAAATTTTGGCCAATTTTCCTTGATTTGGGTGGCGTAAATTTTAGTGTGTTTTGTTTTGCTTTTCATGCTTGAATAAACTCCAGAATAGGTGTTCTTCATCTTTGTCTTTAAGATACACTTAGAAAGCCCAACTTCCACCAGGCTTATTTCCATATATTTCTGTGATGTGATTTAGGTCAACACTGAAATGCTTTGGTAAGATTGCATTTTAAATTTTCAGTGAAACACCTACTTGAGGGAATCTTCTTAGATTAAAATAGTACATATTAAGAAATTGAGATTAATGTAAGATTAACATATTCTTCCAATCACAGTTTTGTAATTATTCCTTGATATGGCAGGAGGGATATGAAATAGATTATGTCATATCCTTCGCTGTTGAGAGGGATCATCTATCTCTAGGCTACAACAGTCCTTTCAACAGTTCCAAGAAGGCTCCATACACATTTGCACTACTCAGGTGACCCTGACTGATACAGATAAACCTCCAGGTGGACTCAATGACCCTCAGGGAGAATGCAAATGACCAGCTATCTGCAAGGAGTATAAATTCTTCCATTCCCCAGAGCTAAAGAAGCGTCTTAGGTGAGAAGTGAAATGTCTTCAATAAAAAAACAGAAAGTCCAGTTGCCTCTTGAAAAAGCACCCTTGGGACAGTCAAACAGTCATTTATAATAAAGATTATATGAGTATTCAGCACTTAAAAGAGAATGTTGATTCATATAGAATGATGTAGTTCCTTTTTTAAGTTTATGGAAAACGGTTCCACCACAAAACCGTGCTCGACTAACCCGCGTCCG